AAACACGTGGCGCAGCTACGCGGATGGAATGGGGCCCTCTCATAATGGGGATTTCACTCAAGACCTGTTCAAGTATTTTGACCGGCACTGAAGAAGCGTGCAATAGTTGCACGGGAGCGAGGCAGCTATGCTTCAAGACGGTCTCTCGCTTGGCACATCCTTGAACTGCATGGCCCTACCACTTAGCATGTTTTATGGCTAGAAATGTGGATGGCAAATCCTTTGCGAAACAGGGCCTCGCCAGAATAGCAGGACCACGGAAAGCTCGTCTGCCAAGGGGGCGCCCCTACGATAGGAAGACTTGCAGCGACTTCTGAGGGAGGGACCTGGAGCAGGAGAGTGTATTGCAGCATCGCTGACGCATCTTGGGTCTGCTCTGGTCCTCCTCCTCCTCCTCCTCCTTCTCCTCCTCTTTTCCACCACTCACTCACCATTCTCGACTGTTTGATCCTCCTGCCTCCTTTTCTCTTTCCCCTTCCTCCTCTTCCTCCTTCATCTGTATCCCCCTCCCCCAGCTACTCGAACTCCGAATCGTTCCATGTATCTTTCTCTTGAAACCAGATCTGTCGCACCCTGCGCTTCTGACACGCCGCTTGCTTCCCAAACACACCCGCCAACCTCATGATCCGGCCCCCTCCGCAGAACCTGGAGTCTCCCAAACGGAATGTTTTCTCCCCCCCGCGCTCGAGGTGTACTCTCTTGCCCCATGGTGCCGCCCTGAAACCAAAAATGTTGTCATCTCTTTGGAGGTCGACTTTTGCTTCCGCCGACTTCCCCCGAGCTTCCGCCGGCGGAACCACCGCCGTTTTACTTCCGACGCCTTCCGCCGACCTTCCGCCGCGGAAGAGATAGCAACTCCTTCGACCCTCGACGTGTGTCTAGACCTGCGATCTTTATCCCGCGCAGCACAGCACCTCCCCCCCGCCCAGACTAGCCAGCCCCCCTCCCCCTCGCCGCGGGGACCCGCCCCTCCCCCGTGGCCTCAGCCTGGAAAAGAGCTCCTCTGGACTCCTGAGCGCCGCTCGCCACGGGCGACCCACCCTCCCCCGCGGCCGCAGCCCGAGGACAGCGGCGCTTGATTTCTGGGCGCCGCTCGCCAGTGGCACTGACCTTCGTGGTCTCAGACGGCTTCCACCGATTCCCGGGTACCGCTCGCCAAACGGACCCACACTTCCCGTGGTCCTGGTTCGGAGATGGCGTCTCTTGGTTCTTGGGTGCCCTTCGCCCGAGGTGCCAAACCAATGGTTTAACTTGCAGAGTGGGCCTCAACATGAGCCGACACATTGCCACTCAATCCGTGTCCCATGCGACGCGCGCACAACAGGTGACCCACGGACGGGTGGGTCACCAGAAAACTGGTTAAGAAAAACCAGCTGATTCGCTTGCGGTCTAGGCCTCAACATAAATCGATGCATTGCCACTCAATGCGTTTCCCATACGGCACGCGCACAACACGTGACGCACAGACGGGTGGGTCACCAGATAAGTGGTTGAGAAAAACCAGCTGCTGTATTTGCGATCTGGGCATCAACATGAGGCGAGGCATTGCCACTCGATACGTTTTCCATACGGCGCGCTCACACTAAGTGACCCACGGGCGGGTGGGTCACCAGAAAACTGGTTGAACAAAAACAAGGTGGCTCACTTGCATTCTAGGCCTCAACATGGGCCGCCGCATTGCCACTGGATACGTTTCCCATGCGACGCGCGCACAACAGGTGATCCACGGGCGGGTGGGTCACCAGAAAACTGGTTGAGAAAAACCAACTGTTTCACGGGCGGTCTGTGGCTCGACATGAATCGACGCATTGCCACTCGACGCGCTTCCCATACGGCGCGCGCACAGCAAGTGACCCTTGGACGGGTGGCTCACCAGAAACTGGTTGAGCAGAACAAGCTGTTTGACTTGCATCCTGTGCCTCAGCATGAGCCGATGTCTTGCCATTCCATATGATTTCCTTTACGGCGCCAGCGCAACAATTGATCCACGGACGGGTGGGTCACCATGAAACCGGTTGAGCAAGACCAACTGTTGCACTTGCTTTCTGGGCCTCAACATGAGACGATGCATTGCCACTCAATACTTCTCCCATACGGCGCGGGCACAACTGGTGATCCACGGACGGGTGGGTCACCAGACAACTGGTTGAGAACAACCAGTTGCTTCACATGCGTGTTGGGCTTCAACATGAGTCGACGCAGTGCCACTCAATATATTTTCCCATACGGCGCGCGCACAACAGGTGACCCACGCATGGGTGGGTCACCAGATAAGTGGTTGAGAAAGGCCACCTGTTTCACTGGCATTCTGGGCCTCAACATGAGCCGATGCAATGCCATTCAATGCGTTCCCCAGACGGCGAGCACAAAAAGTGACCCTTGTTTCCTGGGTGTGCCGCTCGCCACGGGGACCCACCCTTCCTCGTGGCTCCAGCGCGGAGATGGCGGCCCTTGATTCCTGGGTGCCGCTCGCCACGGGGACCACCCACCCTCCCGCGTG